AGATCGGAATGAGGTTCTACCTAGGTACGCGGCATGTTCTTTTCTGCTTTCTTCTTCACTATCGAGTTACTAAGCCCTTGTCGTCTATATGCAAAACCCTAATCCACTATCTGTGATGACGAATGATTGAAGCTTTTGATCATACCAAAAACTTGTAGAATCGTGCCCACAATTAGACCGAACAAACGAATAAACAACTATTCACTTACTGGCACACATGAAGTGTCGACCGTAATGTATTTGTCACGATCATCTCGCCTCTGCGTATGTTCTACTCCAAGAGTATGAATTATCTCATGCACCGCAGTATTCACCTTGAAATAAACTTTTTGACTGGCTGCGATGAAAAGTTTCTTGAATAGTCACATGGAACACCACCTGAATGCAGCAAACTGCAACAGCGCAGTGCAACTGGGAATTACGGACACGGCAAATCATCTTCGGGTTCCTCTAACAAGGGGAAGGAGGCGTCTTTGGTCGTTCAGTGGTGAAGCGTCGTAACTTGTCTCAGACAGGGTTGGTCCGGTACCGTTCTCTCACTCGACATCTCGATCGCATCAGAGGAATGAAGTAGGGGGTACGTATAAAGGCACCTCCTAAAGGGAGGGCCACACAGACTCCACCAATGATGTGCGCTGATCATGGATCTTGGTACCATTAATTAGGTGTCACACGTAGGTCCTCGCACGGAGGAAGGGTGCAGGGCGCAAGCATGTGAAAGAGGTCGGCTGTGGTCCACCCGTCATACGAATAGCCCGGATCTCACCTTGTTCTAACACCATCTCATTCTTGCGGCATTTCAGAACGGCAGTATCACGGAAAGCGAATTCGCTGCATCTTCGAGTGGAAAGTGCAGCCACGCCCTCAATCCATTGGCTATGGAGCGTACTAAATCGCATTTAGATACCTCTACGATTCTCATTCAGATACCTTTACAATTCTGACTGAGGGCTCAAGAGGGTCACCCAGCTGAAAGACGGGTTAAGGAAACGAAACTTACATCATCGCATCTTTCTCCTAACGATATATTTTGCACTCCTCCATGCATTCCTACACCTGTTGACCAGCATTTATCCTCGTACTTCACAATTAATACACGATTAGTAGCAGACGGATCCTCGTAAAAGTCAATGCATGTGTGGGCGCTGATGTAATCCATTGCCTTTCTGGCAACATCACGAGCGTTTTTTCCTGTAAGATTTTCTTCTTCTAGTCTAGCG